GCTCCAACTATGCAGTGTCAACGCCGCGGGGTTTGTTGTGTCTTTATGGACTTACGCAACTGCTGCTCATGCGTCGGTCCGCTAGAGTCTACTACGTCTAAGAAAAACTGTAAAATGGTCTGCGCCCTTGCATGTTGCCCCGCCTTGAGCAGCAGGTCCAAGCCTTGTGGCCATTTTGCTGCCCACCTCCGCGGTGCTTTGCACCCCATCTGTGCGGCATATCAGTCTTCTTCCTGGTAATTGTCAGCAGCATCATCTTTCATTTTATCAACTACGCCTACATCACGCTGCATTTGGCGCTTCCGCACCTTAAAAACCAGCAGGCTGCAGACGACTAGGCACAACAACATGCTTATAGTCGCCATGTTACTCAGCTCGATGAAAGTGATCAAAAAATCGATTGATGATGAGCGTTGTAACTCCGGAGCCGATGCGACGCTTTTGCGGCAATGATCGTGCCCGCAGTTTGAACCTGGAAGTCTCAAACAGCGAGTATCTAGGCAAACGCTTCAGGTTTGTTCTTGTCGGCCGACTTTATATATATCTCGGTCAGTGCACGGTACTTGCAACAACGGTCGGGTGTTGGCCGTTGGGCGCTTTGTCATGTAGCCTCGCCAGTAGGAAGACGGTGATGAAGCCAACACTAGTGTGTTGGTTAAGCTTGGCTCGTGCCGCGCCCCTTGCCGCGATCACTGTGTTGGAGCAGGTACCAGCGGCCGAAAGTGTATGCTGCTGATAAAATGATGCAGAACAGAATGAGGTGGAGAGATTGATGAAGAAGAAAACATCGCGCAGGATGCATCCATCGCCGGTTTATGTCGAACCACCGAAACTCCCATCGAAAATAGACTATCTGGCTCATACGACAAACAACAACTACACGCGTCACATTGTCTACTGAAGTTCGGCAAGCGCCAATACGTCCCTCGTAGAAAGGATCTCGCAATGTCGGTCGCATGTCATACATGGACATCTTGTTCGACATGCGATTGAGCTTTTCTCCTCTTGCTCAAAGGCTCCACAAACATATCCCCTAGTCTATACTCCAATTCTTCTTTCCTAAGAACTCGGAGATGACTGGCAATATCACTACCCATCTTATCACCCGACAAAACCGGACCTAATCGCCTCTGCGATCTCTCGAACTCCGCTTTCGCTTTCTTTCTCAAAGTCTCGTAACCTGGTCGCTTTTCTGGATTGATCTGGAGACAGTCGATTACTAGTTGGTGCAAGGCATTGGAATACATCGCATCGTGACCTGGGATGTCCGTCGATGTGAACGTATTGCCTTCTGCGAATTGGAACGAAGCTCTGATGCTTTCCTCGCATATATGATCTGACTTTTCTCTACCGAGCGTAGTATGCATCAGTTTCCAGATGACCATCCCAAGCGACCAAATGTCTGTCTTGGCATTGACGTAATGATGATGCGCGGCCTCTACGATGATCTCTGGAGCTTGGAATCCTTTCGTGCCCCAATCTTTTCTACCCTCTAAAGCATCTGTTGCTGGTAAGATCCTCTTCACGACATCGTAGTCAGCAAGGAGAGATTCTGGGTACGCTAGGTAGGGTTCCTTGGCGGTACTGAGAAAGATGTTCGCTGGCTTGACATCCAAGTGCACCATGCCGCTTGTGAACTTCTTCCTTGCCTTGTTTCCACCTCGCTTTCTTTTCTTTGTCTTTTGTCTTCCCTTTCCGACTTCTGGGCCATTGTCTGCTCCTTCCGCTGTCTTATCTTCGTCGAGCGTCTCTCCGCACACCCCCGTGTTTAGGGTACATATGGCATCGGCCAGTGCATGAAAGACCATCCAGATAAACTGCTCTGGTATTTGTTTGTCCAAATTCTCTTCCTGGTAATAAACTTTGAGAAGTTCGCTGAGATCTCCGTGCTCGGCGTAATCAGAATACAAGCGATACATTAGCGTACCCTCTTGAGAGGCAGCCTGGATGTGATGGCAATGATCACAAAGCTCCAGTTGTCGACTGATATTGTATTCATCTTCGACAAAATTCACCATATTCTGCGAACCACAACGTATCTTCTTACATACCTTCCGCTAGCTGATGTTAGTACTATTTAGCGACGTAGGAGTTGATGAAGATACTAACTTTCAATATCCTACCCGTGTCGTCGCATAGCACGTACAGGCATACCACTGTGCGCATCTTTCTGGATCCACTGAATCTAGTACGAGAGTCCATCAGCGTCTTGCACCATCGCCATGCTTGCGTTGCGTCGTCATGTGGTTCGTCGAGGCCCCTCTTCCTCGTTTGGGGAGGTGCTGCTCTACCAGTATCTGCTTCGGTAAGACCGACCCTTGCTATTGCGATCTCGCCATCACTAGGCTCGTAATGAGACGTTTCTGTCTCATTCGATGCTTCCGGGTTTTCGGCCTCAGCGGGTGTCGCTACGCCATGCAACGGGTCTTGTATGTCGCGAACATTATCTTCTCGGGCTCCCGATTCTGCCTGCTTACGGCCTCCATTAATCACTTCTTGAGGAGTGTCCCTAGAAGACTCTTCTTCGCTCTCAATCTCACGATCTGGCGCATGGCTGACCGCCCCAGATGCGGCACGGTTGATGTATTCCTGTTGCGCCGTGGATGTCGTCTTATTCCATACCCGTGAAAGCACACCAGCCCCATCAATCCCGCCCTTGTACTCCGTTAAGAATAGCAAATATCCACGCCGCGCATCGTCGTTGGGTAGTGCACTGAAAAGCTCATTGTATCTCTGCGTCGAGCCGTCAGGTAAAGCCAGCGGATCTGCCATGTATGTGGTCCAAAGTTATTTTGCGCAGTACCGAAGGTAGCTCTTGTTTTGATCACAAGAACGCAAAAAAGCCCCAGGTATTCTGTGATTATATGCTCCTTGTCTTAGGTCGATAATGTATCGAACAAAGGCTCTATACTTCATTGTTCGTGGTGTGTTTGCGGCCACACCCACATCCTGATCTTCGAGTAGCTAGCCCTGAAGACACATCTTACAGACCTGAATCATTCTAGACCATGTATATAGAACGCACCGATGAGATTCGGTGTATTAGATGATGACTTTCATAAAATCACGGCCAAAGATGTTTGGTATCGGCCGTTCATAATCAGGTCAAAATGTCCAGCAGGTGAATACCTTGTACACCTGGTTCCTGTCGTATGAGGGACACACGAATACATTATAGTTAAGGTTTGTATTTTGAGTGAGCATCAAACTATTATTTGCATCCAAATTCGTCTTGGTTTGGCTCGTGCGGGAGTGATGACTGCCTAGGTGCTGCATCGGTCTCCTCGCATACCGATTGACCCTGGACCTTCACTTGACTACCTAGGTAAGAGGGCGTTGCACTTAAAATCTTCTGGAACAGCAGATCAAAAGCTAGCTGGAAACGATTTTCAGATTACCTTTGGTGACGTAACACTCATATTAACATGGAAGGCACCTTCCTTAAGGTTGAGCTTTGCTCCCCAACACGGCAAGCGCCCCTCACCTCCAATTTTCCTACGCTAATCGCTCTCTGTCTTCTGGCTACACTTCTGGATATTATGAAGTAAGACACGAAAGTTCATCTATCAATCAGTGCGAGCGCAACGTTGCCGCGCGGTATTGTCAACGTCGCGCTTTCCATTCGACAAAGATCTCGGTCGAGACCCATCACTCCTACCCTCCACACCCAGTTATGGCGCAAGAGCAGATGAAGAACACGCGACAGCGACCTCTATCAGGTCCATTAATGCCTTCGCAACACCGACCATTCGTCGGACCTACCCCAAACATGTTGCCGTCCAAATTTCCAGCCAGGTCCGAACGAAATGCAACGGGCGGCCAGGCCTTCCTGCCTCCCATGGCACCACCCCACTGGCCTTCTTTTCCGCATCTCAACTATCCATTCGAAAATTCATATCCTGATCTCACAGCCAGACGCCGAGAACACCCACTTCCGTTCAGCATGTCGCGCAACGAGCACAATGTCGACCCTAACACTGGCGCAAGAAACATCGATCTAAAACAGCCGGCTTCACCGACGCAAGGCAGTGGTCATACAGATTCCGCTGACCAGCGACATGACTCTCTGACTAAGGGAGACACTATTCACGTCTCGCCTGCACCGCTTCCGACGGGCTGGAACGGTAGTCGTATTCCATCAAACAACATTCCGAGGAAGGCGCCGCTGGCAGCTCGCTCTCCAGATGACATCTCACCATTCATAGCGAGAAAGATACCGCCAACGAAGCAACAGAGATCCGCGAGTCAACCAAAGGCAGCTCCCGGCCCCTCACAAGGCAGCCGAGTACGCCAGCAGAAGTCGTTCAATACGCCGCCGTTGGGTACCCCTAAGAGAGGACGACCGCGACTAGACGATGGGGCTCAAGATAATAACGCAGCTGGCGGGCTGAGCAGCCAGGGAAATGATCACATCGGTCAAAAAATCAGCGCGCAGCCTCCCATCGGCATGTTTGCGCCTCCACAGGTATCATCCGCGACACCACCAAAACCCAGCAGACCAAAGCCAAGGCATAGCTACGTCGTTCCTCTGGAGTTGATAGGCACAAAAAAAGCCCTTGGTAATTGGTTATTGCTCAAAACTATCGGGAACACTCGCTGATAACATTGCTTCTAGGCCCAGACAACTGGAACGAATACGTATACCTCATGGAGCAGCTCTGGACCGAAGAAATCACCTTTGACGAGTTTGGCGCCCGCACGCAACGGATATTCCAAGTGATCGATGAGGGCATTCGGAGGAGGTTGAACAATACTGTGGCGATGAAGATGATAGTGCCGCGGCTAGAGGAAGAGCGGAAGAGAGGTCAGTCGACTAAGGGCACGGAAGACGTCTAGGTTAAGCTCTACAAGGGCCATCGGGCCCGCGCATCATGGTGAGGTCGTGGACATCGGACTATGGGAGTCATGCATGCAAGATGCTAGAAAAGTTCAAGGCTATTCTAGAAGTACTCGGTGATGCGCGCATAGACGATCAATTCCAAGTACCCGCGGCATGGCCTTCAAAGAGATGACGACCTTCGCCTTAGCTTATTTCCATCCTCGTGTGCTTGCTTCTTCCTCAGTTTTTCCAACCATAAATCGTCCTCACAACGCTTGCCGCCTATCAACTGCTCATAGGTTCCGTTGTCCTTCCAAAGACGGTCCAAGCCCATGTATATGCAAAGCAAGGCACCGTTTGGTACCGTGTAGTTGATCTCGTCGCGAAACTGCTGCGTCGCTACTTCAAGTTTCAGAAGTGACTCTCGGATCGCCGTGGCACTGATTGTGGGACAAGCCGTAGGAGAAGGAGGATTGGCGTTCCGATTGCTAGGGATGAAGATGATGTAGCCGCGTTTGCGGGTCAAGCGTGTCCACTGAAGTGTGTTCTTGGTGAAGTGACAATGGGCTAAGATAGTCGCGAGCGGGTGCTTTGAAGCCCTTATGTCTGGTTGTACATACGTTAGCAACAAGGTACGACCGAGCAACACCGGAAAGGAGACTTACCGAACGAGAACGACCCATTTTTCAGGACACCCTCAGGGAAGACCTTGCGCATCTTGGCGCAAGGCCAGCACGGCCAGCACGGCCAGCAATCTGGAGTTGCATTATCCTTGCCTGTCCATTCTTGGCCTTCGTTCTTCATCTCTTTCCACTTCTCACATTCTTCCAACTGTAGCAGGCCACTGCCGTCTTCAGGCACAAAGTCCATGGGTCGTGTGACATCGCTGCTAACGCACGTCCTGCCATCCCAACCCCACAGTCCGTTGGCCATACTCTTCTGGGTGATGTGGTCGCCTCCGTACAGCGTTGGAAAGGAGACTTTGAAGCCACCCAACTTCGCTAACCGCTTGACTGTTGCCATAAACATGTCCAACCTGTCGTCATCGTCCTCTGGGAATACCCACGCGAATCTCCCTAGCACCTCGTCTTTCCAGAGTTCGCGGCGCTGGTAGTGCGAGAGTATGAACGCTTTACCCTTGTTGTCAGTAACATGATCTTTGAAATCTAGACAGTCGTCACTGAGAGCAAAGATCATGACTGCGATGGTATTCGCATCCGTGTTTAGATAGGTGTGCCAGAGAAGCGCGGCGTGACCTGCATGTGGTGGATTGAAACATCCGGGGTAGATTACAATACGGTTCTCCCGGCCGCGTTGGAGCTCAGGTCCTGGAGATCTGGTGAAGATGCGCGGCGAGGGGTCGGAGAATCCTTGCATGTCTTCGTATGCGCGGTGAATGTAGTCTTCTAGAAAAGTCGCCTGTGACCCATTCAATCTTGTAGTACCTGCAGATGAGCTATATTGGATGTTTGCGGATCTGGATATGTCTGCGCCCACAGCCGAGGAGATCTGATTTAGCTCGACAGCATTATCGCCGTCTCGATCGCTAATTTGCTGCGCTACTTGAAGTTTCATATCATCTCCAGAATCTATGAGATTATTCTTGTCGAATTGGGCGTTCTCCATGCTCGGCTTACCATACAGAATGCGCGACTACTTTCGGAATAGAAAACCCAAATGCAAAGTGCGCGCAGTGAGAGTTCTTCAAGGTCCGTGCATTGTCGCTCGTAGTGCTGTAAATATTCACTGGCAATGTCATATTGACAGCCGAGGTGAAGCAGGCTCTAGTACTATCCCAAGTCGCGATAGACAATATCTTGTATACTCCGTAAGGGACAGCATGGCGATGTTGTATCATGAGAACGATTTGCAAGGTCACGGGTATGGCGTTGACGGAAATCTTCAAGCTTGGAAATGATACCCTGTGTGAGTGTTCGAGAGTAGCGCACTCCAATGGACATAAAAGCTTCGTTGGCAGCGCCAAATGAGCGCAAGGAGATATGGTGTAGACCATGGACATTGTTTACCGAGCTCGATCCTTGGGTTATGACTAATAGAAGTACTGTTGTTCACAGCTTGCCCCAGTGCCTTCATTTCAAAAAAACTCATCGCTCGGTCGTCCCTGCAATGCATTTAGTCGTATACTACAGCTGAGAATTGCTGCCTGCTCAAATAGTAGCCGTCAGACCAACCAACCAACACGCATTCGGTACGCCTTCAATTTGCGTGTGTGCCCACATCAGCTGTTCTCCACAACCAGTTAGAAGCACCGGACTGGAACCACCGTTATCGACTTACCAGCCCACCAATGTACACACCCATAGTCCCTCGAACGCGAACCCCGAAAGCAGCGGACGGGCTTGGGTGTAGTACCAGTTTCTGCATTACTTTTTGGAAGGTTCTTTCTCGATTTCACACCGCCTGGCCGAGGTCTAGAGCATGCAGATAGAGCTGTGAGAAGGCGATAGCTTTAGTGACTGCATTTAGAGTATTGTCGGTCATGTCCGAAATCGATAACGCAGCGTTGCGGCTAGCGGGAACTAGTAGGGCGTTAGAGTAACTTTTAATAAGGCTCGAGTGTGATTAGTGAAAAATCGCTAGTTAGTCGTCTAAAGTGGGCAATCTGGAGGTTGTAGAGAATAACGGCTCTATAGTGTAGGGTATCAGACAATGTCTAGCGTTGCAATCGACCGAGGCCCACTTCAACAAGAGCCTCATAGGTTCGAGACACAAAGTGCATATCGCGCCTATATAGTGCGAGGATGGTTAACAGACGCTGGAAAGACTAGTAATCTGTGAATATGTGTGATTCTATGCGCTAAGGAAAGACTAGGAAAATGAGTTTACCGTTTGCGACCCTGTGCCACAGCCAGTAGCCGCGGGTTGCTTCTGCTCGCAAGACGGTACCTGGTCCCTCTGTTTGCGGCAAAAGCACCGGCATGCTCGTCGGCCGCGCATCCCATCTTCTTTGTCTTGCGCGGTCGAGGTTGCAACACAGGCACGTGAGCAGTGTTTCCGTGGTCTGTGTGTTGACCCGCTGAATCCTGGAGAGACCTGGAGAAAATTTTGGAGTAGTCTCCACAAGAAGGCATCGCTACGAATGAGACGTAAGCCCACAATTCTGACAGTTGGGCCGGGCTCGATGTCGTCCCAAGCTTTGGCGAGGGCTTGGATTGTTGGGACAAGGAGACTCAAGGTGCCCAAGACATCGCCGCGCGTACGCTATCGAGTTCGCTGGTCTCGTCGAGGCTTGCCACCGACGTCGTCCATTGGTTGAGGCGACAATGCGATGGACTTCCTACATTTTCTGGACTTGTCGAACACCTCTCCAGATAGATTGCAGTCGTGATCCTGGCGGAGATTGGGATGGGCTGACATTTATGAGAAGGAAACAACGGGAAGGACCTTTGGCGGCAGTACAATGGCGCCTTGCTCCCTGCCTCGGTGGTCGCGCCAACATGTGCCGGTATGCAGGCGGCTGACGGGAAGGGCAACATGGGCGCCGATCGGAGCTGGGCAGCGTCAGCTTAACAAGCCGCACACCTCGATCGCACCAAGCACATGCAACGTGAAGCCTTGCACTGATCACGGGGACACCACGAGTACGGGATACCTGCCGCGCTACTGTGACGGCGATTGCGCCTCGTGCGCCGTGCGACGCAAGATACACCGGTAAACATGTAAGGGTGAGCTGACAGCGCCCTTCACCAACCTCCAGAATAAGAGCGGGCTGGCGTGACGGTTGCTCGGAAGACAGCCGAGCAATGTAACGCGGTGGCTTGAGCTAGCGGAATCACATGGGGTCGAGAATGCGGAGGGTGAGGTCATAGACGTCGGCCTGCGCGAAGCTTTGGGGTGAGGGCCAAGCCCCAGGCCTTAAGCGTGGCTAAGATAGCCGCAGCACGCTTGGGGAGGCTTACTCCATGGGGAGAGATGGAGTGGGGATCCTCATGAACGATAGCGCTAGCGCGTGAAACCCCCTCCTCCAAGGCTGTTTCTCAATGGCTGACGCGAGCCAGGATCCCGGGGTGCTAGACCGCCGCGACGGTGGTGCCAGTGAAAGAGAATCTGGAAAAACCCAGGTGCCTGTCGGAAACCTCTTACAGCTGGCGTGCGCCGTTGAGGCTCCACTTTTAGGCCTCCCTCTCACTCCGAACTCCCCCAGGTATAAGATCGACTGCTCATCTCCCCCGCCATTTCTCTCTACCTCCACTCCACTGCTCTCCGCAACTCCTTGCAATTTGTCTTACTAACGTCGGAGCCTGCGAGACATCCACTCCACCATGGACGCAAAGGACACTGGCGTCAGCCACATTCCTGACAAGGAAGTAGCCTACTCTGCTGAGAAGGAAGCTGCCTACGACCCGGCCAACGAGAAGGAGCCTCACTACACGCCCACCGCAGAGCACATCGCGGATACAGGCGCCCGCCGCGAATCTGTCGCTCACAACATCATCGAGAACCCTCTAACCCGCCAGTCAAAGGCCGAGTGTGTCGGCGCTGCCGAGCAATGGGCTGCCACCCATGGTTTGGAGGAGCACGCCGCTCTCTTCGGAAAGGCCGCCCTTATCGCGCGTGATCCTGAGCGCTTCGAGATGCTCACCGACCTTACTCAGGAAGAGCGCGATGCTCTCATCTACGAGCGCGACCACAAGTGGTTCGGTCCCACCATGATGTGGTACTCGATTGGTCTGTGTGCCATTGGAGCCGCCACTCAGGGCTGGGACCAGACTGGATCCAACGGAGCCAACTTGTCCTTCCCTGAAGAATTTGGTCTTCTCGGATCGGACAGGGGCGAATGGATCATCGGACTTATCAACTCCATCATCTTCTTGACTGCTGGTCTCATCGGCGCTTTCATCGTCGACCCTCTCAACAAGTACCTCGGTCGTCGTGGAGAAATCTTCGTCACCGCTATCTGCCTGACTGCCACCCCCATTGGTTCCGCTTGTGCGCAATCATGGCAAGGGCTCTTTGCTGCGCGCTTCATCATGGGAATTGGAATCGGTGCAAAGAACGCCACTGTCCCGATTTACTCTGCTGAGATTGCACCTCACCGAATTCGCGGTGCCCTGGTCATGTTCTGGCAGTTGTGGGTTGTCATTGGTAAGTTGTACCATCCGCGTTGTCGACGATATGTTATTAACCCCTATCCACAGGTATCTTCCTCGGTTTCTGCGCCAATGTCATCGTCAAGGACACTGGAGCTATCTCATGGCGTCTACAACTCGGTTCTGCTTTCATCCCATCCTTTATCCTCATGATTGGCATCTTCTTTTGCCCAGAGTAAGTGAAATTCATCACGCTCAATCATATCAAGCATATACTGACAAACACTTTTAGGTCTCCTCGTTGGTTGATGAAGCATGGCCACATTGCCAAAGGCTACCGATCAATGGCCAGACTGCGCGCACACCCCATCATTGCTGCTCGCGACTACTACTACTCATACGTCATCTATGAGACCGAGCTAGCCGTTGCACGTGGAGCTGGCTACTTCGACCGCATGTGGGACTGCTTCCGCGTGCCTCGAATTAGGCGTGCCAATTACGGTGCTTCGACTGTCATGATTGCCCAGCAGATGTGTGGTATCAACATCATCTCATTCTACAGCTCGACCATTTTTACCCAGGTCGGCTTTACCGATGACCAGGCTTTGTACGCCTCTCTGGGCTACGGAGCTCTTCAGGTCGTCTCCACGATTCCTACTCTGTTCCTCATCGACACCAAGGGACGAAGGACCCTTTGCATGTGGGCAAGTACTTCCCAACCTTTGCGCGACTAATCTTGTGCTGACTGTGTGCTAGACCTTCCCCTTCATGTGCATCTTCCTACTGGCTGGCGGTTTATCCCTCCTTAACCACAGTGGTAGTCAAGCCGCTCAACTCGGACCGATCGTCTTATTCATCTACCTCTTCACAATCATGTACTCGCTCGGAGAAGGGCCAGTCGCATTCCAGTATTCTGCTGAGGTTTTCCCTACCATTCAGCGTGAGCAGGGAATGGCCTGGGCAGTGTGCATCAACAACACCTTCGCTGGAGTCTTGTCGCTCACCTTCCCTCGTATGGTGTCAGTCATGACGCAGACCGGCGCCTTCGGATTCTACGCTGGTCTCAACTTGATCGCCTGGTTTATGATCTTCTGTTTCGTCCGAGAGACCAAGCAGCTCACGCTTGAAGAACTGGACCAGGTCTTCAGTGTGCCCACCAAGCAGTACCTCCACTACGAGATCACCCAGTCGGTGCCTTACTTCATCAACAAGACGGTTCTCCGCCGAAATGTGCCCAAGCCCCCTCCGATTATCGAGAAAGGCTACGCTACTGGCGCTGTCCCGACTGCGTAAATCCGGATCCAAACTAGTCAGATCATTTGAAGGTCCAGTTCTACTTAGCATAGGACTATGTAATGCGTTCGTTAGTGTAAATAGCACACGAAGCTCTCTGAGCGAGGAATGAATACCCCAGCGTGAGATGCTCACACGCTTAAACTGATTCATGTGTAATGCTGTCATGTGATTGCTCTCCTCTGCGCTTAACAAAGATACATTTTGGGGTATGAACTAATTGTCCGGTGGAATGCGGAGAACTCCCTACACAACGGTACGCTACGTAGTCTGCCTGTCACACCCAAACAACGCCATCCGCAAGAGATCGCTCCTCCCGTACGCGTCTACTGAAAATGGGGCCTCACATGGGAAGCTTCAGCATTGACCACCCATGCCGACCTTCGCCAATGCGGAGTCGGATCTCACGTCTCATCACCTTTGCAACTCCTCGTATGCCACACATGCTCCATTCGCGACTTAGAAGCTGAACACTTTGCGGTCATAATACCTCTCGCTACATTACGAGCTCACACGGTATCGCAGACCAAGCGGGTGTTGGGTGGAAGAAAGGCCGTGACGTTCGGATGACACATTGGAATGGAAGAACCAATCGGTGATTGATTGTTCACAAACACATCACCAGCCCTGTCGTCTTGCTTCATAACTGGAAAAGGTGATGCGAAATAGCGAACATACTCCTTCTCGTCAGCCATCATATGTATCAACTCAAGCTACAATAGTTGGTCCAAGCTCAGACCTCAGCTACAACAAGAATGATGAACAAAGTCTTGTTTTCTGCGACAGACAACAAAGGAACAAACACCCACGAGCGATACCGGAGGCTCGATGTTATACAGTCCCCCACGGCATGGTCGCGGTCACAACCAGGGGCCTATATGCCGAGAGAAACGGAAACCTTGGATCCAGTGTTACACTTCACACCCGACAACGTGTTACGAGAAGTACTTTTATGACGGTACCCGAGCGATAGAGTCACGACGCACGGCTTGCCGCCGTGCACGATCACATGGCACCACGTACGAAGAGCAGTTGGTGGACATGGCACATCAACGTGGGCTTGACTCCTCGAGAGTCGAACGTGGGCTGACTGGTGGCTATATGCGTCGACTGTGAGTCTTCGGGGGTGACTGGGAGGAGATGTGAGTCAATCAGGAGTATATAAGGAGCACATCGACACGGTCGTACTTTCACACCAGTATACTACCTTTCGAAGCTTAGGCAAACTCAACCAAACCACATCGACGACTCTCGAAACACAAATCTGAACATACATATCAACTATTAATGTCTTCCTCGAAGTTCAATGTGCCATCGGGGCCAAATGATGCGCCCTCCAAGGAGTTTCAAGAGTTACTAGACGGCAACAAGGAGCGAAATGGAGAATTGGCGGGGGCTCTAGCAGGTTCTGAGGGACTGCCGAAGTGGAATTATCCACCTGGGGCTATAAAAACGATCAAAAAAGCGCGACAAGAAGCATCGAAATATCGTGATTCTCTCAGCGCGGAGCTTACAAAACTACTCGAGTGGCCTACTCCAGAGGAGGCCCATGCAGACTTCTTCTACCAAGCAGCCCCGCCCAATAATGTATTCAATCGAAACAAAAATTGGTTCAATGAGGAAAAGTTTCACTCTTTCGAGACTCAATACTCGTTCTCGGATCGGTGGGACAAGCAGCCTCTCACGGCGGCAATCTACGTACCGAAGCAATTATCAGCGGATCATGCATCACCTGTTATGTGGATGTTCCATGGCGGTGGATTTGTACGAAACCACTTTGGGTGTTAGATCTTGACTCGGACATGCTAACGTGGGTACAGTGCACCGGCGCTGCTGACTTCATTCCTTGGTACTCGCAAACTGCTGTTCACAGAGCCAGGCAAAAGAACGCCATTATCATAGCACCAAACTACCCTCTCGGGCCAGAAGGCAACTACGTTGACATATACGAGGCAATATTCGATTTCCTCAGATGGTATAAAGAGGACGGTTACTTCGGGAAGGACTGGACAGATAAAAAAGATGATGAAAACAAGTCTTGGCAGGAATGGCTACGTGGCGAGGTCGCAAAGAAGGGCGGCAAGCTCGCCATCGCCAAAGATCAAGTGTACGTCGAAGGTGAAAGCGCAGGCGCACATGCAGCCGTGACTGCGATGTGGCTCAATGCGACGATAGATGGAGGAATGAAGATACCCATTCAAGCGGCCCTTTTGCGGTTCCCCATGATTGCGCATTACAAACGCAAATTCAAAGAGGGAGAGGACGTTCCCTACATGGGTCCAAAATACGACCAGACGATTATTAAAGACCAAGCTGAAGCAGTAGCGAAGGAAATTCTCAAACTCGAGAGATGGGGTGTTGTGCCAACTTGTACAGGGAGGCCGCCTCCTCGTGGCATGGCCTTCGCGGTCTTCCTATCCGTGACAGGAAAATGGCAGCCGTCCTTTCAGCGCCAGCACGGAGACCCTACGCTAGACAAGAAACCACGCGTCGATGATGAAGGCAACATCCACGAAACTCTCATGGATGGAATCGAGAGAGCCGAAATATGCGCAAACAGAGTGGATGCTAATTTCCTTCCGCCCATCTACATTTATCACGGCCATAATGACACCAACTGTCCCCTCACGGACACCGAGAAGTTTGTTGAGACGCTCCAGGATCACGACCTCTATGGCGATAGATTCAAGGACGAGGAAACGCTTTGCTTGAATGTCGTTCGGGAGTTGAACAAGAAGCCCGTGTCAGATCCAGACGCCGCCAACAGATTGAAGTATGTTCGGACCGATGAAGTGCGGCACGGTTTTGATTACTACCTGAACGAGAATGAAGAGCAGTTTCTGAAGGACGCGTACGACTGGGTTGGCAGTCGTTGGGGTCCTCAGGAGTGAGACTATGGTGGTGTGACGACTGGGGATGGGAAGGGTACTGCACGTTAATGTGTCAACACTCCTTGATACAACCATTACTTTATCATCAATCACATTCTTCATTTCGTCATTGGGTAGCATTTTCTACGTATGTCCAACTTCATAGCTCCTAACTAAGAGGGCGCTACAGCCCTTGCAAATACCGAGAGATGTCTCGTCATGCCTTTCTCTTGACTTCCTTGATGTCTAGGCTCGCCAATAACCCATGAATGATTGAAAGCCAATCCGTCCGCCTATCTCTTTCTTCCTCCCGCACTAGCCATACAAAGTGCCCTTAGTACGCTCACTAAACTGCGTCTCGTTATGGAGATGCTGGGTAACATCCATGGTAGTAGTGATATGCTCCCGACTAAGCTTCTCCTCCTTGCGACTAGCCAACAGCCTAGCAATCTTGAGGATATTCTTAATCTGCCGTCCATTCAGGTCCATACGCGCCAGTTCCGTAAGTTCAGCTTTGGAAATCGTGTGTTCCTGCGACGACGAATCGAGGAAGTTCCTCCAGACCGTCTTGCGGGAGTCGATGGTGAGACCGGGGTAGTCGAGCGAAATGTGGATGCGCGATTGAAAAGCTGGGTCGAAGGTCTGGACGCGGTTGGTTGTCAGGAACATAGTGCCTTCGTAGTACTCCAGGACGCGGAGGAAGATGGAGACGAGTTTGTTGCGCTCAAGCTCGTGGAGGGAGCGCTGCTCTAAGAAGACGTCGGCTTCGTCGAGGAGGAGGACCGCGTTCCAGCGGCTGCACATCTCGAGAATATCTTGCAGCTTGGTCTCTACTTTCCTAGGATCGAAGCCAAGATCGCCAGCGCTCATCATGTAAAGAGGCACCTTCATTTCTTCGGCGACTGACTCACTGGTGAGAGTCTTACCCACGCCGGGTGGGCCGCAGAGTAGGATAATCATGCCTTTGCCTTTACCTTCGATCACGTCGTCAAATGTATCGCGGAACTTCCGTTGAGACTCCGTGAAGCCTAAGATAAGCTCTTTCTGGTTCTTTGGGAGCACCAACCTATCGAAAGCGTCGTCTTGCCACTCAATGTCTTTAACGCAGTTTACGAAGAAGTTCAGCCAAAGCTTGTTCTTCAGGCTGTAACCACGAAGTAGAGGTGTGCAGATCAGCTTTTGTTCAGTTGTCAACGGCACGTGTTTGGCTGCATCGTCCTCGTCAGCAAATGCGCCATCTAAGGGCATGCCACTGTCGTCTTCGTCTTCGAACTCATCCTGGCACTCTTCAATCTCTTCCTCGTCGTACTGCCCCGGAATAGGCGGGATTGGTGGCGGGCTAGGATCTTTCTGGTTCAGTGGCGTTACAAAGACCGAATGAGTGGGGTCGAAACGATTCCAGCCGTAGGTATCGATGATGATCCGACCCTTCACGTTGTACTTGTCTTTGTTCCCGAATCCACCCTGCCTCCATGCAACACCTTGGTATGCTCTATAGTTCGGACCAGCGAGAGTTTCTGCTTTGGCACCCCGTTCAATAAGGCGAGTGCGGATAGCTTCGCCCTCGGGATGGAACTCGATGGGGTAGACACGCAGATTGGTGATGGCGCGTGTACCGGTATAGGCGGCGATGGAGAGGTTGATCTTGTTGGAACCGAATTTGGCGCCATCCCAATCGACATACTTGCACGTCAGCCAAAAGCAGGGTGCACCCTTGCAATCCTGTCCATAACGCGTCTCGACCAAAATCATGGCCGTCTCTTGACCGTCCTGTCGAGCGAAAACAGTCGCTCCAGGTTGATACAGTGTCCAAAGATGTTCGTATGTCATAACCTTCTTGTTCTTCATGTCCTGGGAGGTATCAATCATACTCTTGAATTCCTTGGTGAGAATGTCTTGGAGCAACTCAGCGTGGGCTTTGGTCGTGCGCTTATCCTCTGTCTCGTCGCCAAGCTTGGCAATAGCGTCCTGTAACTCAGTCCATCGATGAATCAGTGGCTCAAACTTGCCCTGGAACTCGAGACGGTTGAGGCCGACGGTGACACCCGGGTAATTCTTCAGTACACCAGCGAGCAGCTTCTTCAGCAGCGGGCTCTGAACGACAATCGAGTGAATAGACAATACTCGTCGGGGATCGTTGTAAACCTTGACGTTCCGCACGAGCAACGCCCACTTCGCGGTCTCGTCGTTCTCGACGGCTTCTCCAAGGTCTTCGGGGATCTCCTCTTGCCACTGAAAGCGGCCCTTTTTGTCTTCCTTTCCGGAGTACAAGTGCTTTAGACCGTTCTTCATTCCTGGTTTGTAAAGCTCCTCGTCCTCGGGCTTGTCTTCCGGGGTGTCGTTATCGGTGGCGCCATTTTCAGCCTGCTTTCGACCTTTACCGTTGACAAGAACGTGCTTGACACCATTGGTCTTGGTCTTTGACTTGCTCTTTGCGGCTGGCTTATCCTCTTCGGATGATGAAGAGGAGACGGACGGAGAGCGAGCCTCGCGCTTAGCTCTGTTGCGTTGCTCCAGAGCCATGAGCTGGCGCAAGTAGGCCAACTGCTCAGCGCGCGCGTCTTCTTCAGTGGGCGAGTCGCACATGACGAGTGCTGTTGGGACGGACTGAACTGAGGCGACGGATGTCCTTCGAGATCGGCTTGCTTGAAGTACTGTAATGGTATGCTGAGTGGGTGGGGGGAGGAAAGGCTTTGAGTGGGTTGAGGAAGAAGTGAGAGCGTAATGCAGTAAGAGAAGCTGGGAGCCGTGCTAGTCGAGCGTGAGCTGAGGCTTCGTTTCACCGTATTATCGAAGCAGTTGAACGATAAAGGGAGTCCCGATCCACTCCGATTGTTCAAGTAAGAGATAACCGTAAAGGAAAAATGGAGGTGGACTGAGATTCAAGCAAAAAGTACTTCACAAGGCTATATGTAGGCAGCCAAGAGAACCGGTCAGCCTTGCCTGTTGCCTGGTCGTGCGGCGATATCGTGGAACGTCTGCCTGCTGCAGGTCTGGTAGCGAAAGCCCTTGCAGAAGGGCTGCGAAGTTGTCGATTTCGACTACTGTGAGCGGCTTTCACACAGATCTTTACTTACCTGAGTGCTGAAAGGGCTATGCGTTGGCAATGCCGTCGGGTCACACAAGGCGTCAGCGGTGGCGTCACTGCAGCTCTTGGATGCCACCAAAGCGAGGATACGTGTTGCACAGCCTCACCCAAGTCCCTCTCTGCCTTCACCATATTCGAGCCACGCTTGCGATGCATCATGTTCACTACTGCTGATAGCGAACGCGTTGACGCGACTCCCCTCTGGATCGCGGTGTCTGTACGTTTGCTCGGTCGTGTGAGAGACTGCAGCTTGGACCGACAAGCTGATGCATGCGATCGCACTGTCGTGACAGAAATGGGGAGCCGACTGCAGAGATGAGATGAGATGGAATGGAGGACTTGGCTGTCTGCGCGTAGCTGGACGCGTCGCGAGGCTGGCGAGAGATGAAGTGTGGCGGTGCGCTACCCCGCGACCGGCGTCGGCGTTTGAGCCCCACGCGATCTTTTTCATCCTCCCATGCGCTGGTCCAATATTTTTTGCGCGACGACATAACAAGACATCACGTCAAGCCCCAGGCGCTCTGTAGTTCAATATGACTACTCACATCAAGATCCCCTGCTCGTCCGCCAACATCGGCCCCGGCTTTGACGTCATTGGCCTTGCGCTCAACCTTTATCTCGAACTCGAGGTCACAGTCACCAAGAAGGAGAAATCAGAGCACTCGCTCAACTGCAAGATAACTTATGAAGGCGTAGGCGCGGAAGATGTCCCGCTCGCCGCGCAAGATAATCTCATCACGCGAACCGCCGTATACGTGCTCCGCTGCCATGGCGTTCGCGACTTCCCTTCGGAAACACACGTCCACGTCAAGAACCCGATACCACTGGGACGCGGACTGGGCTCTTCGGCTGCAGCTATTGTAGGAGGTGTATACCTGGCGAATGAGGTCGGAAACCTTGGGCTATCGAGAGCGCGCATGCTCGACTACTGCCTGATGGAAGAGCGTCACCCCGACAATGTCGCAGCAGCGCTATACGGAGGCTTTGTCGGCACATACCTCAACGAACTGTCGCCCGAAGACACCGAGCGCCTCGAAATCCCCCTCAGCGAAGTCCTCCCGCAGCCTGCAGGTGGTGTAGACACAGGTCTGCGGCCACCCGAGCCTCCCCTCAACATCGGACACTACACCAAGTTTGCTTGGTCGCCCGCTATCAAGTGCATATGCGTCATCCCACAATTCGAGGTCTCGACGGCCAAGGCGCGTGCGGTACTGCCTGAGTCGTACTCGCGCAAAGATGCCATCTTCAACATGCAGCGACTGGCTGTCCTGACCACCGCGCTCGGTCAAGCCACACCAGACCCCGACATGATCTACACTGCTATGCAAGACAAGCTCCACCAACCCTACCGTCGCGGCCTCATCCCCGGTCTTACCGAAATCCTCCAATCCGTTACCCCACAATCACACCCCGGTCTGCTGGGCATCTGTCTCTCAGGCGCCGGCCCGACCATCCTCGCACTCGCGACCGAGAACTTCGACAAGATCGCAGAACATCTGCTACAGGAGTTCAGGAAGGAAGGCATAACATGCGACTGGAAGCTCCTTGAGCCGGCCGAGGAGGGCACCACTGTGACACGCCCTTCCAGCACCTCACAGCCAGCTGGCGAGGCGCTGACATATGCATCATCGGGTGTGAGCATCGACGCGGGTAACCAGCTCGTTAAGCAGATCAAGGCATTGACTGCTAGCACAAAACGTCCTGGAGCCGATGGCAAGATTGGCGGATTTGGCGGGCTGCTCGACTTGCAAGCAGCTGGCTACACCGAGGCACCCATACTGGTGGGCGCTATCGACGGTATCGGCACTAAGGTGAAGATTGCCTTCGAAATGGGCAAGCACGACACCGTCGGTATCGATCTCGTCGCCATGAACGTGAACGATCTCGTCGTACAAGGCGCCGAGCCGCTGATGTTCCTCGACTACTACGCTTG